ACACCATGCTCCTATTGATGCAGGCCATCTCATCCAGCTTCTTCTGGATTTCAGTAAGCCCTTTGACAAGGTCCCCCATTACCTTCTGGCAAACAAACTAGTCCAATGTGGGCTAGGCAAAATTACGGTTAGGTGGATTTGTAATTGGTTAAATGAACGAACCCAGAGGGTGATTCTCCCCAATGCTTCCTCTTCATCCTGGAAAGAAGTGACGAGCGGAGTGCCATCAGCAGGGTTCCATCCTGGGCCCGGTCCTGTTCAACATCTTTATTAATGACTTAGATGAAGGGCTAGAAGGCATGATCATCAAGTTTGCAGATGACACCAAATTGGGAGGGATAGCCAATACTCCAGAAGACAGGAGCAGGATTCAAAACGATCTTAACAGATTAGAGAGATGATTGGCCAAAACTAACAAAGTGAAGTTCAACAGGGACAAATGCAAGATACTCCACTTAGGCAGAAAAAAAATGAAATGCAAAGATAGATGCATATGAAAAGATCTTGGGGTCCTTGTGGACAACAAGTTAAACATGAGCCAACAATGTGATGTGGCGGCAAAAAAAAAGCCAATGGGATTTTGGCCTGCATCAATAGGAGCATAGTGTCTATATCCGGGTAAGTCATTTAAATTGAAAAGAGATCTTGACAAGCTGGAATGTGTCCAGAGGAGGGTGATTAAAATGATCAAGGGTCTGGAGAACAATCCCTATGAGGAGCGGCTTAAAGAGCTGAGAGGAGATATGATAACCATGTATAAATACGTGAGAGGAAGTCATAGGAAGGAGGGAGCAAGCTTGTTTTCTGCTTCCCTGGAGACTAGGATGCAGAACAATGGCTTCAGATTACAAGAAAGGAGATTCCATATGAACATTAGGAAGAACTTCCTGACTGCGAGAGCCGTTCAGAAATGGAACTCTCTGCCCTAGAGTGTGGTGGAGGCTCCTTCTTTGGAAGCTTTTAAACAGAGGCTGTATGGCCATCTGTCGGGGGTGCTTTGAATGCAATTTTCCTGCTTCTTGGCAGGGGGTTGAATAGGATGGCCCAAGAGATCTCTTCAAACTCTATAATAATATATAATAATAATAAAACTTTATTTATACCTCGCCATCATCTCCCCAAGGGACTTGGAGCGGCTTACATGAGGCCAAGCCCGACAACACATCAAAACAGAAAAGCAATAACAAACAATACAAAGCAATACAAAATAATATAAATCACATACAACAAGATTTAAAAGCTTATGGCCAGGCCAGATGTAATGATTAAAAATTTAAAAAATAACACTGGATATGACAAGGATTCTATGATTCTATGATTCTAACATCTTCCAATTTCCATATTGGGAAGGGTTTAGGACCAGAGTCTCAGACCCCTGGCTGTCCTGAGTAAGGGTCTCCTCCTTACTTCCCAAACCCCTTTCTTCTTCCTCCTCCTCCTCCTCCTCCTCCTCCTCCTCCTCTTCTTCTTCTTCTTGGGAGTGAGTGGCCCTTTGTGGGACAGGGTGGCCAGCCAATCACTCCGCCCCCAACCCCCAGGGACTATAATCTGACAAGTTTTAGCATCCTAAGGTAAAGATTTTCCCCTGACATTAAGTCCAGTCGTGTCCAACTCTGGAGGGTGGTGCTCATCTCCATTTCTAAGCCGAGGAGCCGGTGTTGTCCGTAGACACCTCCAAGGTCATGTGGCCAGCATGACTGCATGGAGCGCCATTACCTTCCTACCTGAGCGGTACCTATTGATCTACTCACATTTGCATGTTTTCAAAACTGCTAGGTTGTCAGAAGCTGGACCTAACAGCAGGAGCTCACCCCACTCCCCAGATGCGAATCACCTACCTTTTGATCAGCAGGTTCAGCAGCTCAGTAGTTCAACCCACTGCACCACTGGAGGCTCCTTTATCAGCCTAGTAACTTCATATTGGGAAGGATTTGGGACGAGAGCCTCAGACCCCTGACTGTCCTGAGGGCCTCTTTTCCTATCCCCCCCCAATCCTTTTGTGGGGGACTGATTGGATCTTTGTGGGGCGGGTGAGCGTCCACCTGCCAACCAAAGGCCACCAGCTCCTTTTCCGTTGTTTGGTCTGCTGTTAGACTAGACTAGAAAAGGGAGGGGTTGTCTCTGTCATTGCTAAGAAAATCCAACAAATGCTATGTTCAGCAAAGGGCAAGAGGGATCCTCTCACCTCTGCAGGAGTCTACCGTGTACCATGCAGCTGTGGACAAGTCTACATAAGGACCACCAAATGCAGCAGCATTGTCCAAACACGAATCAAGGAACAAGAAAGGCACTGCAGACTAATTCAACCAGAGAAGTCAGCCATAGCAGACCTCTTGATGAACCAACCTGGGCACAGCATATTATTTGAGAACACAGAAACGTTGGACCACTCTCACAACCACCATGTCAGGCTACACAGAGAAGCTATTGAAATCCACAAGCATGTGGACAATTTCAACAGAAAGGAAGAAACCATGAAAATGAACAAAATCTGGCTACCAGTATTAAAAAACTCTAAAATTATAACAGTAAATAAAGAATAAAAGTCAAACACAGGGAAACTCCAGACAAGAAACAATCAGGAACACCTATTCGCCTCTCAACTAAGGATTTTCCCAGGCAGCAACAAGCCTCAACTAAAAACTATCAGGGCATCAAATGCTAATGAAGGTGTCTAATAGAAACATTCACACCTAGCTCCAACAGACAAGAGTTCTTTCTCCCACCCTGGACTTTCCACAGATATGTAAACCCTATTTTCCTGGTTTCCAATAAACCTCACAACCTCTGAGGATGCTTGCCATAGATGCAGGCGAAACGTCAGGAAAGAATGCTTCTAGAACATGGCCATACAGCCTGAAAAACCTACAACAACCCAGCAAAGACACTGCCTCGACATGGGGAGCCTTCCCATTGAGTATATGAATTCCTTTGCTGAGTCTTGCCCTTTCTTGACAGCTTTGCTAGCTGTTTGGGGTAACACCTGTTTTTAATAACTATCAAGAAAAAATTGACACCGTGAGATTTTAAAAAATAATTTATGGCAACATATAATGGAAGGTAGGGCGGCCTATATATAAAGCTATTATTATAATTTATTGAATATGTTGGCATCCTTGAGAATGGTTTATGTAATGGAGGCATCCAGGTGTGGCTGATCCTGAGTCTGCACTGATGCTTTGCCATTCTGCTTCATCAGGTTGATACTTGGGATTGAAACTCAGCAGTAATGGATCATAACCTCTCATTCTTGTGTATCACAGAAGGCTTTTTATGCAAAACCACAACCAATATTCCTCTTCCTGGTCAATTATCCCTTGGATAATTTTTTTTTCCTGTTTCAGGTCCTTGATGAAACCCTTGATGTGAAAGAAATTATCTTCAATCCTGAGCGCATTGGTGGGCTGGTGGGAGAACCGGCATGTTTATGGCTTGCTATTTGAACCCATACATCCTTGCCTTGATACTGGGCTATTCCCACTAATTGCAAAGACACTGGGAATGTTGCAGAGACCAATACAGGCTAAGATGGGCCATAAAGAAGGCAATGTGGTACATGTGTCTATGGAACTGACTTTTGTCTTCTAAGACATCCTGAGTTTCAATCTTGGGGGAAAGATGGATGAAAGAAAAGAGTGGAATACAATAAAATAAGCTGGTTAAATTGTAATGACAGAGACCAGGCTGATATCGTAATTGGGTGCATCCCACGTTTGTTGCAGCAGTTGTCCAAAGAAAAGCACCCTCAATGCTTGGTTACTGGGTGTGTGTGTGTGTGTGTGTGTGTGCTTGCCATAGATGCAGGCGAAACGTCAGGAGAAATGCCTCTAGAACATGGCCTTATAGCCCCCAAAAAACCACAAGAACCTAGTGATTCCAGCCATGAAAGCCTTCGACAAAAATGAAGTATTTTGGCCACATCATGAGAAGACAGGAAAACTTAGCGAAAACAATGATGCTGGGGAAAATGGAAGGAAAAAGGAAGAGGGGCCGACCAAGGGCAAGATGGATGGATGGTATCCTTGAAGTGACTGGCTTGACTCTGAAGGAGCTGGTGGAGGTGACGGCCGACTGGTGTGGGCTGGTCCATGAGGTCACAAAGATTCGGAAGCGACTGAATGAATAAGCAACAACTGAAAAGGCAGGCAAAGAGTCAAGTATCACAAAATACCTGGGAAGGCTTCCCAACTTTCGCATCAAATTTCTTCCTTTGTAAAAAGGGAAGGGTGAATTGCTTTCTGAAAGAGCAGGTGACTGCAAATAGGAGGCATTTGGAAACTTTCCACAAATCCGTCTGCCATGCACATGCCTTTGTCTCTTTCCCAGTGACGGCAAAATGCTGGTACAAAATCAAAAAAGAGAAGCAGTGTTGTTTTGCCCTATGACCTCTCTTTTCTCTATTTTAGGTCCACATTCATGCAAAACCAGCTGAAAACATTTGGATCAAACCTCCTGTTTATCTGCTTTCTTTATTCGTTGTGTGTTAGGCAGCATGTTGTGTATATATATATATATATATATATATATATATATATATATATACACACACACGTGTTTTGCTGAATCTTAATTTTTTTATATTGTCATTTTTTTATCTGAACTTTAGCCAGAGACACAGAGAAAGCAACAGTGAAAGGCAGGTTTCCATCACTTCCTACTTTTTTTCACTGCATATGTCATTGAAATTGTTATTTTGGAGTAAATATCAAACTGGGCCCATTCTTAGTTTGTTTATTTATTTATTGTTTTAATACTTGTATGTATTTAATGATATTTTAATATTTTCCTTTTGTATATTTTACAAGTGTGAGCCAATTTGGGTCTCAATATTGAGGAAAAAAGTGGGGTGAAAATAAATATAATTATTTTTTTATTTATTTACTGTAGTTTTACCCCGCTCTATCTCAACCCTGAAGGAGATTCATAGCAGCTATTTATCATTTGTCTCTTCCCATTGTTTAATCAAAACACTATATTAAACTAAGGGAAGGAAAATATCTTCATTCTTCATCAGAGCCATTCAAAAGAGCAGTGTAGGTCTTTGTGTCTGCTTGGTTGAACTTCTGAATTTCCATTCCATCTCCTCCACAGTTTCCTTTCAGTATCCAAAGAACCCTACAGAAACCAAGACAGGGTATTAGATGGTCAAATAGAGACTCAACGGTTGATGGGTACATTAATACCTTCTGCCATCTACTCTTCATCCCAGGTGACTGTTATTGGAATAGTTACTATGGCCAGTAGTATCTCATGCACTGCTGCTCTGACACTTCCATGGATACAATTCAAGATACTGCTCCAAAAAGTCCTAAATCCTCCTTCACTCAACTAGTGTCATTCAAGTGCATGGCACCAAACCCCACATCATCCCTGGCCAACATCCTTTTCTAAGCTGTGCCACCTCATTTGCCACCCAGTTCTCTATGCATGTGGTTGCTTTCCAAGGGTGAAAGGACAGGCCCTTATCCCAAAGGTCTTACAATCTGGAATGGTCTTCCAAAAGGTCAAACCACATCAACAGGAGAAGGAAATCGCATCAGGGCAAATGCAGGATTCATCAAGAGGACCATTTCGGCTTCTTTGTATTGGGCTCAACCATGGTCAAGAAGAGATGGTGTCTTCCTGTTAGGCAGCTCTCTCTTTCTAGAATGCAAATCTGAGTGCCCTGGAAGAGCTCTTTCCACGAGCCCTGACTTTTGGGACTGAGATACCTTGAAAATGCTCCATTACATACCAATAGACAATGCCATAGGTAAAGGTGAGGAAGAGAACGGCACTCCCATAATGCCAAGAGTAGCACAGGGCCATAAACATGTAGGTTTCTGGGTCATTGTGGTCCCAACTGGAGGTTCCCCACAACAGGAAAGCAATCTGGATGAATGAACAGAAAGAGAGAATGAGGAGAATCATCTTACTTTGTGCCTATTAAAACTGCCCCATCACGTCTCAATGGCTCAAGTGATGATCTACTTGTTGTCACTTGTCTTGAGAAGAACCTGGGCATGTTGGAGGTGTTTTTTGTGGTGTGACTTAATGTCAATCATTATACTTATCCTCATCTTTATTTATTGTTCCCCTTTCCCTCAAAATGGTCAATAGTGAGGTGAATCCTGCATGGCAGGGAGTTAAGACTTGTGGTCTCTCCCAACTATGATTCTATGAATCTGCTTTGGGGTTTAGTCTGACAATTGAAAGAGCTTTTCAAGCTGCTGAATGATATCTATAGAATGGCTTCAGCACCTTAGATAGCTCCTTTAAACTTTAGACTACATCACTGCTATCATGGGAGACACCAATCACCAGTCAGATGTTTGAGCTTGTATTGACTTCATCCAATGCCTGGTTAGATATAATGCCTGGAAAGCTCGCAGTGTTATCTTCCATTCTTTAGAATGACTCCTACAAGAATCTCTGAAGACCAATATATTCCCAATGCTCCTTAACAGTGTGACCAAGTGACACACCCTGAAATACTTGGATCTGTGATGGACTACTTGGATTCCAAAACAAATCAGACACAACTACAGTTCCCAAACTTTGTCCCAAGAAGCACCTCTGATAAGAACTGACCTGCCAAAGCCAAGTTCCCTGGGTTATGAACATGGAAGTCCTAAACAGCTCCAGGATTGGGTTGTTTCTGTGCCACACCTCAAACAAACTGCAAACAGCCCCGGTCCATATGGGAATTAACAAGATGTAGTGGATGTATTGATCCAGAGCAGACATCCGGCTTGAATGGGTATAGAAGAGCAGACCTAGTAAAGACACACAAAAGTACAACTCGTTAATTGTTGAGTGGTTAAAAGTCTACTGGGTTCTTTGTCATTCCATTGGATGGAAAGTGAAATTACTAATGCATTAGCCAACTTCTTAAGCAAGTTGCAACTAATAGTAGTCTGACCAAGGTCTTCTCAGCCTAAGATCAAGTATAGTGCAGCAAAGCAAGTACTCAGCATGCTGAAAAGTCCCAGGTCTACAAGAAAGTCTATGAAACATCCCATTCTGAGAGTTGTCTCAGTCAATCCAGCAGAAAAAATTGGGCGAGGTGAACAAACCATCTAACTCCATATAAGTCAACTTCTTTTGGCATGTCTCAAATCACATACATAGCAATGTACAACATGGCTTCTTCCAATTTAATCCAATTAAAGCCTCTCTTAAGGCATACTCCGTGGCTATACGGGTGGCCAGGAAATCATTCACGACCACCCGTATAGCGTCTGCAGCAAATAGATCATCGGAGCTGTTTCGGGTCGTGGGAGAACTCCTCCACCCACCTGTGGTGGAGGAGGTCACTGATGACCCAGCAGCTCGGTGTTGCGATTTCGCACACCATTTTGCAGGTAAAGTCGCCCAGATACGCCTTGAGCTCGACTCCAATTTCATCGCAGTGCCAGAAGAGGTGACGGAGGCATCTGCTTGTCCAACCTTGTGGGATTCTTTTAGGCTTGTTCTTCCTGAAACCGTGGAGGAGATTCTTGGGGCTGTGAGGGCGACCACCTCATCTCTAGACCCGTGCCCATCTTGGCTCATTAAATCAGCCAGGGAGGGGCTGGTTGACTGGTTTGTATTGATTATCAACGCATCGTTGGAGCAAGGGATTTTTCCATCTGGTTTGAAACAGGCTGTGGTTCGTCCACTCCTCAAAAAGGCTTCCCTTGACTCCACGGTGCTGAGCAATTACAGGCCAATCTCCAACCTCCCTTTTTTGGGTAAGGTGCTGGAGCGGGTGGTCGCCTCCCAGCTTCAGAGCTTCTTAGACGATACCAACTACCTAGATCAGTCACAGTCTGGTTTCAGGCCTGGTCATGGCACCGAGACAGCCTTGGTCGCCTTGGTGGATGACCTCCGCAGAGAGCTGGACAGGGGGAGTGTGACTCTGCTGGTTCTCTTGGACATCTCAGCGGCTTTCGATACCATCGATCATGGTATCCTTCTGGGTCGTCTCTCTGGGATGGGCCTCGGGGGCGCGGTTTTGTCGTGGCTCCGGTCCTTCCTCGAGGGACGAACCCAGATGGTGAAGCTGGGTGACGCCTGCTCAGACTCCTGGCCTTTGACCTGTGGGGTCCCGCAAGGCTCTATTTTGTCGCCCATGCTTTTCAACATCTACATGAAACCGCTGGGAGAGGTCATCCGGAGTTTTGGAGTTGGGTGCCATCTCTATGCGGATGACACACAACTCTACTACTCCTTTCCACCTAATTCCAAGGAGGCCTCTCGGGTGCTGGACGAGTGCCTGGCCGCTGTGTCGATCTGGATGAGGAGGAACAAGCTGAAGATCAATCCCGACAAGACAGAGGTCCTCCTGGTCGATCGTAAACCGGATCGGGGTATAGGGTGGCTACCTGTGTTGGACGGGGTTACACTCCCCCTGAAGCCACAGGTCCGCAGTTTGGGTGTCCTCTTGGATTCTTCGCTCACACTTGAGGCTCAGGTGTCGGCGGTATCCGGGAGGGCCTTTGCACAATTGAGACTTGTGCGCCAGCTGCGACCGTACCTCGCGAAGGCTGATCTGGCCGGGGTGGTCCATGCCTTGGTCACCTCTAGAATGGATTACTGCAATGCGCTCTACGTGGGGCTGCCCTTGAAGACGGCTCGGAAACTTCAATTGGTCCAGCGGGCAGCAGCCAGGATGCTAACTGGGGCTCATTATCAAGAGAGGTCTACCCCTCTGTTTAAGGAGCTCCACTGGCTGCCATTTATTTTCCGAGCCCAGTTCAAGGTGCAGGTGCTCACCTACAAAGCCCTGAACGGTTTGGGACCACCCTACCTGCGTGACCGCATCTCCATCTACGAACCCACACGCTCACTCCGGTCATCTGGGGAGGCCCTGCTCGTGATCCCACCCACGTCGCAAGCGCGCTTGGTGGGGACACGGGACAGGGCCTTTTCTGTGGCGGCCCCCCGACTTTGGAACGCCCTTCCAAAAGATCTTCGACAGGCCCCTACTTTAGCAGCTTTCAGAAAGAACCTAAAAACTTGGCTGTTCCGATGTGCCTTCTCAGATTAGGAATTCCCCATCCCAAGTCCTAGAAGCACTTTAGTACAATTAATATTGCTGCACACCGCACTATTTTAATCCTACATGCCTCCTGCCATTTCAACACTTTTAACCCTGTACCCCATTGCTCTGGCCGGCCCAGTTTTAAAGTGTCCTGATGTATTGTCACTGTTGTTGTTATTCTGCTTAACTATTTTGATTTGCTTTGTGTATTGTTGTGTTATGTTTTTACTGTATTGTGTTCTGAGGCTTCGGCCTGTGTAAGCCGCATCGAGTCCCTCGGGAGATGCTAGCGGGGTACAAATAAAGTTAATAATAATAATAATAATAATAATTCGAAATTAAAGAACCCACAAAACAAGCACGGTCCAATGTATTCCTACGCTGGCCCTTGACCAAGAGAATTCCATATGTAACCCACACACCTTGGTCAGACTACTATTAGTTGCAACTTGCTTAAAAATTGCTGATTCCAACAGTATTGAAGTATAGCAAACCTTCTCTGAAAAGGATTGCCATAATTGCCTCTGCTACTCACTGTTTCAATAATTCCAACTGTAAAGAGGCCACCAATTTGTAAAGATGGCACCCAGTTTGTAACGATGCCACCAATTTGTAACGGTTTGTAAAGGAGCCACCACTTTGTAAGGACTTATTAAATTGATAACACAACTAATAGCTTGTGATATTGATTTGTGCTTTCTTCAATGTGTAGCGTAGCTTAAATTGAAAGTATTTGTAACAGAGACTTGGCTTTAGAAGAAACTGTAACAAGTTTATTGAAGTATTAAGCTTGATGGTTTCAATGTTTCTTAACTCTTAGAGGCACATTTCTTCAGAGGTTACATTTATAACATTTCATAACACAACTCTTGAGAGGACTATTCCTTCCACTGAACAGGTTTCAAACTTATTTTCCTTCAAAATGTGTTTCTTTCTTTAACAGATTACTACAGGTACAAGCTTATTTTTGTCTTATGTTATTTCTGTTGCAGTAAAGATTCTTATTAGGGTTCTCTCCCCCTTTTGCTCATACACTGACTAATAATATAAATAAGTCAATTCAACCTATCTAAACCACATAGGCTAAAAACCAAAACCTTCCTGATTCTCAACACAGTAGAATCAGCCTTTCCCTGTAGTTCTTAGACTACAGACTACCTTACTGGTTCTCAACACACTACAGAACCAGCCTACCCTGTCGTTCGCTGACTACAGACTGTTTTAAAATGGATGCCCTGCCAAGTGGCAGTTGGCTCCGCCCCTTTTTCCATGGCAACTCAGCTCAGAGTGAGCTAAGCTGGCTACCATCCCCCAGTTATGCTATTCTATATACTTACCCTTTTAAACACCTATCTATAATTACACATAACTGCAGATTAAAATTAACATTTCACCACACCAACACTTATTGAATGCAATATGATTGCAAGAAAGACTGAAAGTGAACTAGTAGACCTTGGTTGGACTACTATTAGTTGCAATTTGCTTAAGAAATGCTGATTCCAACAGTAGTGAAGTATAGCAAACATTCTCTGAAAAGGATTGACATAATGAAATCATTGAAGAATTTAAAAGGGTCTGGTCTGAAGGAGAGACCCTGCAGCCCCGCGAAAGAGGGATCACTACAATGGTGAGCAAAGAGAAGCCCAATTTTAAAATAATTGTTTTCCCCTAGGTTCCCAAAAAGAATCTCTAGAGAGCTCTGTCTTCTAGAGAGCTCTGTCTTCCTGCAAAATGTGCACTCACCTTCATTGAAAAGTGCCAGAGAGAACAAGAGGTGATCTAGTCCCATGGGGATCTGGAACTTGCATCGAGTGAGGACGCCAACCACTCCGGCTATGGCAAAGAATGCATGCATTGTCGAATGTTGCCAAAGATTTAGGAACACCCACTGGTGGGTGGCTTCATTGTAAAGACGGAAGCAGGGACCCTCAAGCAAACATTGCTCCAGAAGAGCTCCTATGGATCAAGCAATGACTCATAGTTATTTATGATAGAAGGCAGCTATACAGGAAAGGAGAGATGTGTTCAGTTGCATCTACTACATTGCCGCTTGGGAAGCCTGAATTCAAGTTTTGCTAACAAACGATGAAAGCTTAACTATATTAGAGGTGAATAAGATCTTGATGAAGATATTCTGTAATATTCAAATACCTAAGATACATGTGTCAAATTCAAGGCCAGAGGGCCTAATGTGTCATTTTATCTGGCCCTCCAGAAGCTGAACTACAACTCCTGTATTCCTCATCTTTAGATATCATGACCAGAACTGATGAGAGTTGTGATATAGTAACATCTGGAAGGCTTCAGTTTCTTCTGTTAAATCAAAAGAATGGGGTTTGGATTGAGATACAAGACCTGCATGTAATCCCTGATTATAAAATGTCCTTTAACCTTTCCCCAACCTCAGATCCACAAGTGCTTGTTGGGTTGCAATTCCCATTCTCCCCAGTCTGCATGGTGTATAACCAAGAGTGATGGGAGTTGAATAACATCTGGGCACACAAACTGGGTAACAACTAAAGAACACTGACCACTATGTAAAAAAATATATAGTTGGCTCTCTGTATCCATGGATTCTCTGTCCATGGGTTCAACTGCCCTTTGAAGGCAACAATAAGGTTGATGTGGTTCTCGATGAAAATGAGTTTGCCAACCCTGACCTAAGGGATCCCTTTGGTCAATGTTTCTCAACCTTCCTAATGTTGTGACCCATTAATACAGTCCCTCGTGTTGTGGTGACACCCAAACATAAAATTATTTTTGTTGCTACTGAATAACTGTAATTTTGCCACTGTTATGAATCATAATGTAAATATCTGATATGCATGATGTATTTTCATTCACTGGACCATATTTGGCACAAGTACCCCATACACCAAATTTGAATACTGATGGGGTTGGGGGGTGATTTTGTCATTTGGGAGTTGTAGTTGCTGGGTTTTATAGTTCACCTGCAATCAAAGAGCATTCTGAACTCATCCAATGATAGAATTGAAGCAAACTTGGCATACAGAACTCCCATGACCAAGAGAAAATACTGGAAGGGTTTGGTGGGCATTGACCTTGAGTTTTGGAGTTGTAGTTTGTTATGCTAAGTCCTTGCAGGACACAAGTATATGTGTGAAGAAAATCTTAATTGTTTGTAATTATCTTGTTCAGCAATCTTGTGCCATGCCCAAGGGGCTATAATTGTTTGAGTTTTTTTAATACAGTGTGGTGGGTGCTGGAGTTCTGGTGGGTTGCTGCTGGAGTTTTGTTTCACCAGTGTGGAGTACCAGCAGGAGATGCTGATGGTGAAATGGCTATTTACTTTAGGCTGTTATGATTTCCCATTTGCTTCTTAGAAGATGCTTTATTTTATGCATATTGCAAAGATTGTGATTTTTATGTGCTGCATTGCCAGTTTTGTTTTATCTCTGCAAGTTAAGAGAGTAAAGATTTTCTGTTTACCTTGACTATTGGTCAGAGACCATTTTGTGTCTGGGTTTTTTGGGTGTTAGACCCGTCGCAAACTAGGTTCCTGCGGGAGCAAGCCTTGCCAGCACATCCCTGACGTCACGAGACTCCGCCTCTCGCCCCGCCCCTTTCTCCGCCTCCTTCTCCGTGCGAGAGTGGTTTTTCCTTTGCTAGGGCAGCATTGCCAGTGTACTCTCTCAGTTGGCAGAATTCAACTGAGAGAAAATGCGGGCAATGCTGCCCTAGCAAAGGAAAAACCACGCTGGCAAAGAGAAAGGGGCGGATAAAGGGGCGGGGAGAGAGGCGCAGGCTCATGACGTCAGGGACGTGCTAGCAAGGTTTGCTTCTGCAGGAACCTAGTTTGCGGCGGCTCTTAGGTCGCTGGAATAAAACACGCGCTGCGTAACATAGTTCACCTGCATTTAGAGAACACTGTGGACTCAAACAATGATGGATCTGGACCAAGCTTGGCATGGATACTTAATATGCTCAATTGTGAACACTGGTGGAGTTTGGGGAAAATAGACATTAACATTTGGGAGTTGTAGTTGTTGGGATTTATACAATCAAAATGCATTCTGAACCCCACCAATGATAGAACTGGCACAAACTTCCCACAGGACCCCCATGACCAACAGAAAATACAGCATTTTCTGATGCTCTTTGGTGACCCTCCTGACACCCCCTCACGACCCCCCCCAGGGGGTCATGATCCCCAGGTTGAGAAACACTGAATTATCCTATAATTGTGTTAGATGCTCTATTATTGTCAGTTTCTTCTTCTCACCAGGCGTACGGACCTACAGGGCAGACTGTCTCTGGAACTGGTATCCACCTATCGGGACTCGGTATCCATGTCTAAGGGTTCACTATCCATGGCTCAAGTCTCACTATCCAGAGCCATTTTAAACTGCTCTTTTTCGCAAGGATGAGGGAGGGCTGAAGAGAGAAAGTGAGGAAAAATACCAGCTGAAAACAGCCCAGACAAAGGGAGCAGGAGGGGAAATCTAGTTGTTGAGGAAGCAGGCAGAAGAACAAAGGAAAAGTTCACTAAACTTTGCACATGATCAAAAGTTCTTACTCTAAAACTGAACTGCGCGTCAATTCAGAGTGGCACTTTCCTTTTATTCACCCAACAAGGTGACTTGATCAATTGGCTTACAGAGTTTGACTGGGTAAAAAAATCTGAAAGTTTTTGGGCTAACTAATAAAGGAGTATGGCAGCGAGCCCCAACAATAACATAGGAAGGAAAGGAGGGGAGGGTGACCTAGGAAAGTAGAGAACTGGGCATTGGTCTAAGTTGAAGACTTCTATTATAAGGTCTGACATGAAAAAAAAATCAACTTTCTTTCCTCTGCAAATCTGTGTTTATTTTAGTTGTTCGTAAGTGCCTTTGCAATCGTTTCTGCTCTGTTTATATTGATGCTACACAAAGACAAAAGCTGCATGCCACATTTACCTGAGGAGCAGACGACGGCCATACCTCCCCATTCCAGAAGCTCAACCCAATAAATGAGCTTTTCAATTTGCAGAGAATACTTTGATTTCCGGCCAAGGAACTTCAAGGGGTGCTTGATGGCCCATGCAAATCCAAGCAACAGGAAGGACAATCCAGTCACTGTATGTCCTAGGAAAGACCCCATTACTGAGGTATGGGATGGTTAAATACCTAAATGGAAGAAGAAACAAAGGTTTACCAGGGGTCCTCAGACTTTTTAAACAGGGGGCCAGTTCACTGTCCCTCAGGTCAGGGAAGCGGCAGGTGACACGGCCCCAAAGCTGCTTTGCCCACCGTCTCCCTCTCCATCTCCTGCCTTTGGGAAGAGGCGAGGCCCCATCCCGAAGGCAGGAGAAGGTCAGGCTGGGCCAAGAGAGGTGGCAGAGGAAGCATCCCCAAAGCCTCTTCGCCCGCTGCCTCCCTTGCCATCTCCTGCCTTCGGGATGAGGAGAGGCCCTGTCCCGAGGGCAGGAGAAGGCCAGGCTGGGTCAGGGAAGCGGCAGGCGATGCGACCCCAAAGCCGCTTTGTCCACCGCCTCCCTCGTCATCTTCTGCCTTTGGGATGAGGCGAGGCCCCATCCCGAAGGCAGGAGAAGGTCAGGCTGGGCCAAGGGAGGCAGCAGGGGAAGCGTCCCCAAAGCCGCTTCGCCCGCCGCCTCCCTCGCCAACTCCTGCCTTCGGGATGAAGTGAGGCCCTGTCCCGAGGGCAGGAGAAGGCCAGGCTGGGCCAGGGAAGCAGCAGGTGATGCGGCCCCAAAGCTGCTTTGCCCACCGCCTCCCTCCCCATCTCCTGCCTTCGGGATGAGGCGAGGCCCCATCCCGAAGCCAGGAGAAGGCCAGGCTGGGCCAAGTGAAGCAGTAGAGGAAGCGGCCCCAATCCGCATTGCCTGCTGCCCCCCTCACCATCTCCTGCCTTCAGGATGAGGCTGGGCCAAGGGAAGCAGTAGGCAACACAGCCTCAAAGGGGGACTCATCCTTCTTCACACCCTGCGGGCCGGACAAATGCCCTCAGGGAGCTGGGTCTGGCCCGTGGGCCATAGTTTGAAGACCCCTGGTTTAGACAGTGATTCCAAACTGGGGAGGGCATAATATTTCCAATGGTGTAAGAAGCATCACACTGCAATAATTATGAAGCCTTGAAACACTCCTCGTCAGACCAGATTTGAGAGGAGGCAGGAAGGTGCAAAGGTTATTGGTTACAACAATGGATAATAAATGTAGATCGTAAAGAGAATGTTAGCAACTCTGCACGCGTCTCCCAGTTATTGTTGCAATGGCAAGCTCAATAAAACTAGGCATTGTCCCATTATTGATGAACAGGCAACTGACTTTTTCCCAGTTGAGACAGAGAAAGATCAAAGTTCTCATGGATTTTACCACACTTCACCACTGTTCTGGAGACCACAGTGGTGCAGTGAGTTAAACCCTTGTGCCGGCACGACTGAAGACCGACAGGTCACAGGTTTGAATCCGGGGAGAGAGTGGATGAGCTCCCTCTGCCAGCTCCAGCTCCTCATGTGGGGACATGAGAGAAGCCTACCACAAAGATGGTAAAACATCAAAACATCCAGGTGTCCCCTGGGCAACGTCCTTGCAGACGGCCAATTCTCTCACATCAGAAGCGACTTGCAGTTTCTCAAGTCGCTCCTAACACGAAAAAAAACCCCAACCCCTCTGTTCTAATTAGTTTTCTTGTCCCACTTTTCCATGGCTTTTGACATGTCCCAGTTTCTCTCTCCCCCTCATCCATGTTTATTTCAATTTTCTAAATTAAACTCAAAGTGCAAAAGATCATTATTAATTTATTTGTCTTTTTTAAAAAAATGTTATTTTATTGTTTTATCCCACCCTCCCCTCCTTGTGCATGCAATTTATAAAGCAAACTACAGAAGTTGCATTCAAAATATCAATCTCAGTCTTAATTTTTCCACTCC